CCAAATTTATGGTGTATTATTATTTAGCCCTGGTGGACACAGTAGTATAGTTTTTTAAATTTTGACTCTATAGCGCCCCCTACAATCTTGCAACAGTTATATCTCAATGATATATCATCCGATCTACACCAAATTTTTATGGCATAATGTGTGACCATGTCTAAACACATTGTTAGTGTTGTTTAAAATTTGACTCAAGTGCGCCCCCTAGATTATTCAAACTGTTATATCTCAGTGATATGTCATCCGATCTGGACCAGATTTTGGGTGCATCATTACTGAGAGCTGATGGACATTTTAGTTTTGCTGTTTAATATTTGACTCAAGGGCGCCCCCTAGATTATTCAAACTGTTATATCTCAGTGATGTGTCATCCGATCTGGACCAGATTTTTGGTGTGTGATTAGTGAGCACTTAAACACACAATGGTATTGTTGTTTTACTTTTGACTCAAGTGCGCCCCCTAGGTAAATCAAACTGTTATAGCTCAGTGATATATTGTCCAATCTGCATCAGATTTTTGGTGCTTGACTAGTGAGGACTTATGGACGCAGTGGTCTTGTTGTTTAATATTTGACTCACGTGCGCCCCCTAGATAATTCAAACTGTTATATCTCAGTGATATATCGTCCGATCTGCACCAGATTTTTGGTGCTTGACTAGTGAGGACTTATGGACACAGTGGTGTTGTTGTTTAATATTTGACTCAAGTGCGCCCCCTAAATTATTACAATAGGTACATATGCGGTCGCAGCTTATGTCAAAGGTTTGGCGAATGCGCACTCCGGAGAACGGGCGCGTGACGGTAGCGTGAGCATTCTCGATGGCGACCGGGAAGGGTCGCTGCAGTTCCCGCGGTCGCCATAAGGCCGCAGCGGCGCTTCGCTGCGAGGGCCTTCAACGCTGCTTGCAGCTTTAATTTTCATTTGTTTTTTCAAGTTATCTGAAGCCAACATCATCATTCCTCGTCTTTTTTTGTTTCATGTGTTAAATGTACAGACGAGCTGAATACATGTGCGTATTGTTTTATACAAACGATGGACTGTTTTGTAATGATGTTAAATATTGCTGTTCTAGTGTCATGAAGAAAGCTCAGAAAGTAATATTTACAGAAATAAAGCACCTTTCCACAGTCAGGTGGCTGTTTGTGTTTTTGAAGGGTGTCTGGACTGCTTGCACACAAAAAATAATGCTTTTAAAATTATTTCTTTACCCGTTTTGGTGGATTTTGAAAACATTTTGGCCACTTTTAAAGAAATCGTGAATCATTAAAAATCACATTTTTTTAAATGCTTTATGCATTGCAACACCTGTAAAAGGTGTTTTCTTTGTTTTTTTTCTTTTTAAAACAAATTCTATTATTGAAAATGGTGACCAAATAATTAGCATGTTGATGTTCTCTTTAAGTAACATTTTAACTTTTCCCCCCCAAAAATTGATTAAAAGGAAAAAGTAGATTATTGCAGCATTTCCATATGCATAACTTAATTTATAATGGATTGAATTAATCACATTATGTAGCTGTATACTCTTTGTGTAATAAAAAAAAAAAGACTCATAATTTCCTGTTTACGACCTCGGCAAATATTTAGAACGATCCTCAAATCAACATAAATGCATATGATTATTTAAAAAACATGCCATATAAAAAGAACAAAAAAACCCTAGGTAAATTTCTGGTCTAAACATTGTAAACCAACAATAACATGATCGCTTGAAGAAAAACTAGTTTTTGATTCTTACTTTCAGTATTTTATCAGCCTTCACATTCCCCTCTTTATATTGTACCTTAAAATATAAACTAGTTTTTATAGACCAGAAATAGACAGGGACTTTATTGATATAAAGAAAATATGATCATTCTAATGAAATGTTTGTGTGTGAATTTAGAAGTTGTACTAATTCTATTTCAACATAAAAATTCAATTTAAAATAACTGATTGGGGAAAAAAAAGGTTGATTTTGCATAAATGTTTAAAATATTTATAATGGTAGCTGTACTTGTGGTAAAGGAGGGAAGCGCCATGTGACAGGACGTACGGCTCTATTTATAACTTGTGAGTGCAAGGACCCAGTGTGATAGACACAAGGACAGATGGACGTCAGTTAAAATGTCCTGCAGAGCAGTATGTGGACTTCTAAACTCTGAGATATGTCTCTCTGCAGCAGGTAGGCTCTGTGAAACATTAATTTAGATTAAAAAAAAGAAACTTTAATGACTGTAAAGAGTTTAATCAGTTTTATTATGGCAAAGATAGATACATTTCCAGTTGCATTTTAGTTTCAGGATTACTGTGGTGGTATTACACAGATGATGTCACTGCATGACAATCTAATTCTGTGCATTTTCCTCTAACTTGTAACTTAAAAAAAAGATAAACAGAAAGGATAAAGTAACAAAATAAATGTTGAATAACAGTAGACGGCAGAATACTAAACTTGTGCAACATAACTTTAGCTACTTTGTAGCTAAATTATCTGAAGACGGCTAGCTCTTGTAGCTAAAACTGTTCTGTAGAAAATGTGCCGATTGTAGTGAAAATGTTCAATTGTTTAATAAATAAATTTCGTAGCTATGTTAGAAAAAAAGTATTTGTACCAATATGCATCTTTAGATGTGACTTCTGTATAAAACGACAACTTCATGTGTATGTTTGTTAAACTGATACGTTCGTCTCAGACACGTGACTCCTTGTTATTCCCAGAACAGATCATGTAGCTTGTTTTCTAAGAGCGGGACTGTGGTGGGGGGTATTTTAGGGCCTTGCTTGTGACTGTGGTGCTCGGAAGTCTGTCAAACCTTGATCTGCCAAAAGGTTTGTTCTCTTCACAACTGTTTCTAGACAGCAGGTGATAACAGCCAATGACAGGCTTCAGTTACAGGTCTAAATTTGGCTTCAGTGTATTGAACAAATGCAATTCACCTTGGATCCCATGTAAGGATAGAAACAACCATGAAAACCTGCCTCTGTCTAATCTAACGTCATTCTTTTCTCAGATTAAAGAGTATGTGAAGCGTCACAATGGATGATTTTGATCACAGCATTCACATTGCTGAGAACGACTGGAGCAGCTTCTATGATGAGAGTGAGGAATGTGACCTGCTGCAGCCGTCGCTTGCCTGTCTTGATGACTCTGATCTCAGCGATTCAGGCGATCCAGACCAACAGGCGGCACAGAGGAGACCTGATGCAAACAGCTGTACAAAATTACCAGAGCAACTAAATCAAAGTGGTACCCAAGGATCAGAGGAGGATGCTGCAATAAGCACTAAACACGGGGAAATACGTGCCCACGGTCCTGGAGAAAACACCACCTCCAAGGAGGTGGGGCAGAAAAACATGGAACAAGAAACAGCTGAGGAGGCAAGGGGCAACACAAACGCACTGCAAAAAGAACCACAACATGATCCCAGCTCAGATGAGACAAAAACACTGACAGAAGATGGAGGGGTGCAAAGTGTGAGTGACTTCGGATCCGCCAAGGATCCTGGCCTACTTTACAACCAAACAGAGCTGAGTGTGAGTGAGCCAGACACCATGAAGACAGCAGAGAAGGAGCGCTGGTTTGTGACTGTCAATGAGAATCTGGCACGAAGGCGAGGGCGTTCTACCACTGGGGGGAAAAAAGCCCATGAGGGAGGCCTTACTGGCATCCTCAGCAGGCCAAAGAGCTCAGATGGTGCAAAAATAAATGAGAAACAAGAATCTGAGAAAAAAAGAAAAATCCAATCCAATCTAAGTATAGAGTCAGGAAAGACTCCGAGTGATGACATGACGGTTGATCTGGTCCACACAGTGAAATCTTTCAATCAGGTGCTTGAAGATGATGCTGAGTCTTTACCTGTTCACAGTTCTGATTCTGAGGGCTGTGCTGAACCAGAGCAGGAAGCTCAGCATACTCTTCAAGAAAACCTCCACTTCCATTGCTCATTATCTCTAACATGTGACGGCGTGACTGAGAACACTGGAAGGAACCGGGCCCACAGCAGACAGATGTCTTCACAGTCTACGGCAGCTGCAAACTATGAGCGTTATGAAAGAACCACTGCCGAGCCGTCTGTCACATCTCCACCATGCCAAAAAGCTGCAGAAATGCCAGATGTGAACTCCCCATGTGAAAATGACACACACGCAGAAACATCTGAGCCTCTTAAGGGCTCAGCATCTGCTTCCTCCCAGGAAGATCAACTTAGTTGCATCCCTGCTCCTAATTTACCTCTAACAGCTTGCTCCATGGCTGATAGCCCTGAAACATACGCAAAAGCTGCAGGTCAAACAAAACCAGTCTATGCCATTTCTGCTTTTTGGGATGAGATGGAAAAACTGACAATAAACAGCATTTTGCAGATCAAGAAGAGAAACTGTTTGTTTTCCAAGCCAGTACAATTCAATTCAGTTTATTTATATAGCGCCAAATCACAACAGAAGTCCTCTCAGGGCACTGTACAAGAAAAAACTATGCCAAATCCAACAAAGCACAGCCTGGTTGATGCTGTGGAATGTAATGTGTCCCACTGCAGCCTGCTGGACACATGTGACAGTCCAGACTCAGACTACGTCACAGAGCCTGACGAATCCCAGTCAGACCACTGCAGCGAGCTTCTGACCTCAGATTTTGATGAATACTGGAACTTTGTTGGTGCCAGCAGGAACCCAAATGCAGATCCTCATTGCAAAAATCAACCAAGTCCTTCCTCTTCATTATTACATAGAGACGACAGCACAAGCTCTGAAGGGACGGAGACACTTGTCCTTTTAGAAGACAATTGGGAGACCCAGATTTTGACCTCATGGCCAAGACTAATGTATACTGTGCAAGCTTTCGAAACCGAGGGTTTGTCTTTGCTGCCTTTTCTCGATGACCGGAGTGGACTGTCGCTCAGGTGTTGGTGTCTGGAGGAAAACGCAGCTTTAAAACCAAACTACAGCCTTGAAGCGCTCAGTCCTGCATCTTTTTTATCCCACACAGACTTACTGGATGCACATGACCAGATATTTTCTCCAGAGATCATTGAATACTATTTCACAGAGTCTGAAGCCAGCTCCGAGTCAGGGAGCTTCGTTGTTTACGATCCAGAGGAGACGTTTGCGGCTCTGGACTTTAACTCCACTCTGGGTACATTTGTAGACGACGCAGCATCCTTTTCTCTCCAGACCAGCGAGGAGCAACCCATCCCTATTTTCTCCTGCTCTCATCCTCCCATCAGGGAGCTCACATTCCCAAAGGAGCACTGTGTGTTCCTGAGAGGCAACAGTGAGAAAGAGGATGAGCTCTCTCCATTCAGATTTGTGTCTCACTCATTAACCCGGGCTGATCCACATGCAGCCTCAGCAGCAGCAGCTGTGAGCGGATATCACAGGTGGAGAAGTTCGCTGTGGATGAGGAAAATCCACTTTCCCAACAAAGGCAGCTTCTGTTACAGAGAGTCTGGCGTTTGGATGTTTCAAGCTGAAAGTGAAGACGCTCAGAGCAGAAGAGAGCATCCAACAGTGAGAGCGCTCAGCGAGAGGAAGATCACACCCGATTCTTCTCAGGTGTTCATGGAAGAGCAACAGGAATCTGTCTGGAGAACAAGTAAGTGTAAGTGCTTACAGAAACTGTGTTCATAATCTAATTTTTGCTCATATTTGAGATTCATACTGGGATGACATGACATGTCTCCCCACCCAAAAAACAAAAAAACAAGTTAACAAAAGTTTGTAACAGCAGCATTATGTTCTCTGTGAATATTTAAATATGCCCTGTGTTTCAGAATGTTTCAGAAATGTCGCTGCCAAATTAAAATTGAGCCTAAAGTAGGGCTGTTCAACTAAATTGCTCAGGGGTGCACAGCTACTGAAAGCCAAGCGCTCAGGGGCTGGACATCCAGCAATTATTGTCATTAAGTTTGTTTTATGGTTTAACGTCTAGTTTTATTTGAAACGAAACCCATCGGTGGGCCGAACTGAGCTCACCCGTGCGCCTGATTTGGCCCCCGGGCTGCTAGTTGAATAGCCCTAAAGACTGTAGATTTTTATTATATAATTATCTGTATCTGGTGTGACGGATCAAATACATATAAGACTTAAATATGATTGCAAATTACTTCTATCAGTTTTTGATAAGCATCTTTTTTTTTAATCAGTTTTCTCATTTAGTTCATGTTTATGTCTTTAACAGAGCGAGATGGATTGTTCTCTACCGTGAAGCAGTCAGACATGTGTTTAGTCTGCATCGCTTTTGCCTCCTGGGTGCTCAGATCCTCTGATCCAGAGGCTGCAGATGCCTGGAAAGCAGGTATGAGATATAAGATAAGATGAGCTCTATTTAACTTCAGTCAGTCTGATAAAAAACAATGAATAGAAAATATACAGCTGGTTCAAACTAAACTTTTTAATGTGTTTTAATGTATTTCCATTTAACCTATTCTTTTTTTTTCTTTTTTTTTTGTCTATTTTACGTTCTCAGTATGTCGCAAATTATTCTGCTCTAACAAATATTTTGACCTTGTCAGGCCCAAACTGGCTTTTTTTAGTGCTCTGTGAAAAACAAAAATATATTAATTCTAACAGAAAAGAGTTTTTGAAGTTAGTCCCTAACCCCCAATTTCAAAGTTTTTAGGAACTTTAAACAGTTTTGACGTGAAAAATCCAATCTGATGACTTGATTTCTAATTCAAAGTATTATTTATTAAAATCTGTTCAGCCCTGCTGGCCAATGTGAGCGCTCTATCAGCCATCCAGTACCTGCGGCAGTATGTGATGAAGAGGAGTCCTCCCCAGGCTGAGCTCTGACAAGAACGACGAAGAAAAAAAATTCCAAATATTTTTCTTGGGTCCACACAAAGACATATTTATAACACATATCTGATTTCTATTCAACTAACTATCTACATTAAGATACAACTTAGCGATCTGGGTGGGAAACCTATTTTTAAAATAACCAGTTGCACCATTTTTCATTAAGCTTTATTGAAAATTGAAACAAGACATTAGTTAATAGTTTAAGGTTACAGTAAATATAGATACGAACAAATGCTCAACGTTGAAAAAACTCAAAAGCAGTAGAAAAATGCACACCTGGTAGAATGAATTCAATTATCATCAGGTTTATATCTTTTGTTGCAAATATTTACTGTTTTTTTGTATTACTTTTCTCAGTAAGCTTATTGGTAAATGGACCATAATACAAAAGCACATTTGTTTCCATGTTTCTGAAATATGCTGTAGAGGTTCAAATAGGGTTTCTATGTTTCAGCTGCAGTCACATTCTGAGAGACAGAGTGCACAAGTAATGTCTTTGAAACAAGAGAAATACGCAATGAAAGGTGTGGAGGTGACGGTTGTGAGGAAAGATCATGTAAAAGTGTTTGCTGATGTACGCAGTCAAAAGGTTTCCACTAAAAAGGTGCTCCTCGATGTCTTTTGTGAACCAAAACATCTGCAGAAGTAGAATGATGCCTGTCCTTTTCCTACACGTTGAAGTTAAAAAGTCTGCCATGAAGTAAGCCTATAAAAAGCAGGAGAAACTTGCTTTAAAATTAAAAATACAGTATTTTTACATCACCTGTATCAGTCTCTTAAATTTCTACGAGAAAGTCAAGTTAGAGTCAAAGCTCTTGTATGAATTTGTTGAAAAGCAGCTTTAACCACATGCAAAACTGTCTAAAGCATGTTTTTATTTGGAGGTACTGTCTCTTTTGTTGCTTTTGTGCAGAAGATCTCTTTAAATCTCCTGTTAAACAAATAATTGTGTGCTGTACTGCAATAAAACCATTAACGTGTGAAAAACCATGCACTCTGAATTACTGACTGCAGGAATCCACACAAATAATATTCAGTCAATGCACTTAAAGCCTGAAAAATACAGTACACAAACTTTGAAAATGTTGTATTTTTGTTAAAATCGTGTTCATGTTAAAAGTCTAAATAAATGTAGGATTCATGGTGGTTTAAATAATTTGTGTCAGCCTCCTGAGAAGTGTTTTCAATTCAATTCAATTCAAAAATACTCTATTTATCTCAGAGGGAAATTATATGTGGAGGTAACTCATCATCCTGGATTCATTAAAGAGTTGTTCTAGATGCTGATGGCTGTGGGCAGGAAGGATCTCTTGTAGCGGTCTGTCTTACAGCGGATTTGAAGAAGCCTCTGACTGAAGACACTTTGTTGTTGTATGACAGTCTGATGAAGAGGATGCTGAGGGTTGTCTCTAATGTTCTTCATTTTATGAAGAATCCTTTGTACAGTCAACTCCAAAGGTTGGAGTCCCCAGAACTGAGCCAGCCTTCTTTATGAGCTTGTTGATCTTTTTTAAGTCACTTGCTCTGGTGCTGCTGCCCCAGCAGATGATGGCAGAAGAGATAGTGCTCTCTACAACAGACTTATAGAAGATATACAGCATCTTGCTGCAAACGATGAAGGACTTCAGCTTCCTCAAGAAGTACAGTCTGCTCTGTCCCTTCTTGTAGACGGCTTCCCCATTACATTTCCTGTCCAGTCTGTTGTCCAGGTGAACCCCAAGGTATTTATACTTCTCCACCACCTCCACTTCTTCTCCCATGATGGAAATAGGGTTGGACTTGTTCCTGTTTCTCCTGAAATCTACAATCATCTCCTTTGTTTTGTTCACATTCATGATGAGATGATTGTTTCCACACCATGCCACAAAGCGTTCCACCAGTTCCCTGGACTCAGCTTCTTGTCCATCTCTGATACACCCGACCACTGCAGAGTCATCTGAATATTTCTCCAGTTTTGTACTGGAAATCCGAGGTGTACAGAGTGAAAAGGAATGGTGAGAGTACAGTTCCCTGTGGTGCTCCTGAGCTACTGACCACCTGGCCAGACACACAACCCTTCAGTCTCACAAACTGTGGTCTGTTTGTCAGGTAGTCTTTGATCCAGGTGATGGTTGAGGCCTCCACCTGAGTCTTCTGGAGTTTCTGACAAAGCAAATCAGGCTGGATTGTGTTAAATGCACTGGAGAAATCAAAGAACATGACTCTCACGGTGCTGTCTGTCTTTTCTAGATGACAGTGAGTTTGCTGAAGCAGGTGTATGATGGCATCTTCAACTCCAAGTCCATGCTGATAAGCAAACTGCAGTGGGTAACCTGATATGTGCTTGTTTGTCCAGTCAGGTGGGTCAACAGAAGTCTCTCTAGGACCTTCATGATGTGAGATGTCAGGGCAACAGGTCTATAGTCATTGAGGACTGACGGGTGAGGTTTCTTTGGCACTGGAACAACTAACTTTAACTTTGGTCTGCATGCTGCAAGAGGGCTTTTTAAATCTTTTAGTTAGAATTATGGAGCATATAATATCCACTAGTGTATTTCATGGAAGTGCAGCCATATTTAAAATGTTGAGCTCAGTTAGCTGTAGTTTTTAAATAAACTTAACTGTCGATCTGTTCAGCACTTCTGCCATCGGCCTTTTCTTTTAAATTATTTAACATTTATTTTACCAGGCAAGACATTAAAATAGTTTACAGTGTCGACCTGGCCTGAACGCTGCCATCCGTTTCTGCAGCCTAACACCAACTTCTTTGGCATAAATTGGATATTAGTTCTTGATTTCATGTTCACAGCTTCCACCTTCTTGTTTACCAGACAAGAAGACAAGACAGCAACAGACACATCTGTTGATGAAAGGCTTTTGCATAAATTAATTAAATCTGAAATAAATAAAAAAAATAAAATCAAGACATTTTGCTTTTTTTTTCTTTAGCAGCTGTCTGAATTCAAATGATTTAAAAAAAAATGCAGAATTCCAAGGCTGAACTGTTCCAAGCCTTTCCTTTATGTTAGATGTATGTAGAACTCACATGCAAATCCCACTCCCTACTGAAAATCTTGAGTCTTTGTTCCACATGAGATGTTTTGGTTACATGCATGAAGGTGAGTAAATGTGACTTCATTCAATGATGGGACTTTCTCATTTAACAAAGAACTGCATTTTTTTTTACTCCTCTTTCAAACCATCTACCTTCTCTGTCCAGAATATGAGCCAGCTTTGTCCTCAGAAGAGTGCCCCTAATTCTGGAGATGAATCAGTGGTAAACAGAAGAGCTGTGTGGTTTGGTCACCGCTGTATAAAAGTCTGAACTCTCCTCACTTTATTGAATTGTCATTTGGATGAACTAGTTTGTGTTGTGTTTGCAGAAAAAAAAAAACAGACATAGATTGAATGACAGTTTGTGTGTTGTCTTTTTTTGTTGTTTGTTTGATGCTATGAAGTTTTACTTAACAAATGCCAATTTTATTTGTTTATTTTTATTTATGCATTTTTCCCTTTTCTCATTTTGGTGATGACGTTCTCACTTGAAATGGCCTTCACGCAGGTGATGCCCCAACGACCTTCAGGAGGGAGGGGAAGTGATTTGCATTGTGGGTTTCACAGCACAAAAGAAACTGGTATCAACTGCAGTTCTCTTTACCACCACTTGATGCCGCTGTATCCTCCATCTCAGTGACGTCACTTTTTACCCAGTTAAAAGTCCAATGCGTAAATGATGATTCCGCCGGGTGTGGTGGCGCGCGCCTGTAATCCAAGTTACTGGGAGGCTGAGGTTGGCGGATCGTTTGAGCTCAGGAGTTCTGGGCTGCAGTAGACTATGTCGATCGGGTGTCCACACTAAGCTCGGTATCGATATGGTGCTCCTGGGGGAGCCCGGGACCACCAGGTCGCCCAAGGAGGGGTGCACCGGCCCAGGTCGGAAACGGAGCAGGTCAAAGCCCCCGTACCGCTCAGTAGTGGGATCGCGCCCGTGAATAGATGCTGTAGTTCAGCCTGAGCAACACAGCGAAACTCAATCTTTTTCCACTCCTCACTAAACTAATAGCGCAACACAAACACCACGTTTTACTTCTTTACATCATACAGCAGCTTCTTTCTTTGCTTATTTCTTCAGAAAGTCAACTTCGCCGCTCGTGCTACATCGCCTCCTGCTGGCGGAAGAGCGCTAATGCAGGAGGAAGTTTTAATGTAATTTAATGTAAGTTTTTAAGTTTTAATGGAGGTTTTCTTTCACCTAGTTGTAGCTGTGAGTCTGACAAATGAAACTTGGGACATAACCTTCTGAAAAAAGGTGTTACTGCAGATAAATATACCTGATTCTTCATCTATCTTACACAAGTGAATGCCAAGAGGGTACAAAATAATCCAGGCAGATAAATCTAACAAGGTGTTGTTGTTTTTCAGCAAGTTGGTATTCAACATGTCAAGGATGTCATTAAATATATATATATATATACATATATATATATATATATATGAACTTTTGGTTTGCTACATCATATTTACAAAGCTTCAAAGCTTGGAACTTCACTTTTCAGTCAGAACTGATAAAACCGTGGATGAGTAAAATATGTCTTCCAAAATAAAAAGTCCTGTTGCCTTTGCTTGAATTTAAGAGAATCCATCTGAACCCTTAAATCCATCTGAACCCTTCCATCCCTCCACGACCTGTACGTCTCCAGGACTGTGAGGCGAGCAGGTCGGATCACAGCTGACCCTGCTCACCCTGCACACGGACTGTTCGAACCACTCCCCTCAGGCAGGAGGCTTCGGTCCATACGGACCAGAACCTCCCGCAATAAGAAAAGTTTCTTCCCCTCTGCTGTTGTCCTGAACACTCATAATGCTACCTCATAATTTCTGCTTTGGTCACATTACATCTGTATTAAAATTGAAAACTCCATCTGTACTGTTTTCTAAGCTTTTTTTATCGTTTTCTATTGTATGGGTGTACACATGTTTTATGTTGTTTTTATTTTTACTTTGTTTGTGGGTGTACACAGGTCTTATGTCTTATGTAATGCTCTCATTTTTACTTTATTACTATTCGCACCATATGTTGAAGCAAATTCCTAGTTGTGAACCTCGTTCATTGACATGGCAATAATAAACTGATTCTAAAGCGTGCGTGCTCCACTTATTAAGAAGCCATGACCACTACAAACTCTTTCTCCACTATAGATAAAGCCTTCAACTTCAAGCTGAGACCATATCTAACTTTACCTGAATCTACTTTTGTAAACAGATGAAAATGTTTACCAGTTTACCAGGACTTTGTTGTTTTCAACCAGTTTGACAAGACTGTCAACAAGGAAGAGGGCCGGCAATGGAGGAGGGGCGTACCAAAGAGAACATCTTATCACAAGCAGGACTGGTTTGTTCCACTTTGGAGTAAGCTGTTGGGGGAAGAATCAGTTTTGTTGTTTGTTTCCTTGACTGATGAAGCCTTCTGGATCAAAGGCGAAACGTTTCAGCACAAAAAAAAAAAAAAAAGAAACTGTCCAGATGACCTGACTGAAAAATGTTGGATTTTATACCTGGATTACTGAACATGGACTTTGTTGTTTACCAGTTTCCCATGCATGTATTTTCATCATTTGTATTTAAAAATACCGCTGTCCAATACTTTGATCTTAAACACCTCCTCGATCTTAGCTTTAGAAAGTGAAGAGAATAAAGGTGTTATTGCAGAAATATTTATTGAAATAAATATGGCATGGATACAGGTTGATATTATATCACATAAATACTGAGTTTAGGCAATACCTCTTAAAGGAAGATTTAGTTTCTATCCAATGAGATTGTTTTAATCAAAACACTGTAAATACATTTCTCTAATAAAACTTTCTGTTAGCAGACAGACAAACACGTCATGGTTCAGTTATTTATCACAACTTATAATACTATATGCTGTTTTTAGCTCAATATTTTATAGTTCTCATGCTGTATCAAGGGTCAAGTGTTTACATCTACTGATATCAACAGTAATCATATAATATACTGCCAACATGAAATATTTACAGTCTCGAAAGGGAGCAAATAAAAGCTGCGGATATACCTGTGTAAAGATATACTGATATATAAAATTTTAGGAATTAAACAAATATTAGATCCAGGAGTAAATCCAACCTTTACTATGCTTTTAAAGCCTAACGACACAATGCAACTTGCTACGTCTTTTATTTTTTTGTAAAAGGGTGAATCATGCTACTATCATCCACACACATTTTAATGTTCTGTACAAGGGACCCTAGAAGAAATTATAACAATATTTAAAGTTAACTCCAAAGTCGGTCTGTTTTCACATCCTTTAGCAAATTGACACGACTGCATATGAAACGTTCAAAAAGTTGGAACAGTTTAGAGAAACCTCGAGTTTAAACCCCACATCTTCATCTCAATAAAAGTTCATTCTTAAGCGATAAGAAACACCAGACAGACTTTGACAGTTTCATGAAGTGCTGAACATGGAATGCACATTAAGTTCCACAAATATTTCTCTAAAATATATGAACACAAAAGAAAAAGAAAAAAAGAGCACAGAAAATAGTCTTTTATAGCTTTAAAAGTACACAGTATTGATAGTAAGATTTCAGGGCATGCACCACCTCAAGATGGCTTGTCACCTTCTTTCTTCAGACGGCTTCAAAAGACAGAAACAGACGTGAGTGGAGCGGACTGCGTCGTAACTTATTCAAGTTGAACAAGTCTAATTTAGAGTTTGGCTCCAAGATGTGATGAAACGACTTAACCATTTCAAAGAGCTCACCTGTAATAATCTTCTGGATTCGACAGAGGGCCTCCGTGCAGGTGATGCCCATGAAGCCACTGCTGCTCCAGCGCCATCCTCTGCAGCTCTGCAGACTGCGCGTGCATGGCCTGCAGCTGATGAGAGGCAGACATCTGAGGGATCGGACCCTGCAGCTCTCGTGGATAAGCAGCTCCTGTGAAAAGCACAACTGAAAAAATTAAACCCACTGAACATAGAGGATTTAAAGATTGTGGTTAAGAGTTGAGTTTACAAACCAAACAGTGGGTGGCGCAGCATCTCATGATCATGAGGAAGATCAGCGAGTAAAGGGTTTGGCATTGGACCGCCAGGAAAGGGGAATCGGGCCAAACGTGGTCCTGTAGCCAGAGGATCCACTAGAGGATGAGGACTTGAACCTAAGAGGAGATGGAACAACATGCAAGTATGTGTAAGTTTGAAAAAAATTGGATGAATTACTGCTGAGGAATAAACTTCACCTTGACCGAGGGGGTCCTGTTGGTGGAGGTGCAGGTGAGAGTGGATATGAGAGTGTTGGTGATGATGAGGCGTCACGTTGAGCATCTGCAGCCGAGCAGCCGGATCCGTGGCGACAGAAGCCATCCTTTCAGCGTGAAGTCGCTCTGCCGTGAGCCGCTCAGCGTAGCTCAGCTCCGGGCGCAGCTGAGGCCCCACCAGCGCCAACCTCTCTCGCTCCAGGTGGCTCAGGCCAGGATGAAAGGGCACAAAGGGGTGAGAAGGCCCAGGTAAATGAGGAAGACCCAAAGCCCCGTGTCTCGCAAAGTGCTCAATGGGGTTGGCTGAAGGGTGCAGAGTTTCCAGGTCTGGGGGTTTCATCTCGAAGCCTGGCTTCATCCTCTCGCGGAGCTCTCGGTCTCTAAGGTTCCTCAGCTCGCGCTCTCTGAGGCTGGGCTCGGTGCTGTACAGGCCAGGCATGTGGTAGGCCAGCAAGGGGTCCCCGGGGCTCAGGGACACGTAGAAAGGATGGTTGCGGTTGGAGGGGGACATGACATGGGGTCGAGCGTAGTCATTCAGGGTGCGCATGGCTGCCGTGTCTGGACCAATGTAGGGAGGCACAGCTGCTACAGTGGCAGGCGGGGGCTCAAAGGAGGGGCGTCCGTGGACCTGAGCTACCATTTGCACCTCACTCATGCGGCTGTCGTGGGAGGAGCTGGATGCTCTCTGGAAACATGACACAACGGGAGATAAACTGTGACAGTTTTTGTCTGAAAGATGCTTGAAAAACAAACAAAAATGAAGAGAATACTTCACTTACAGAGTTTCTATCAGCGTCTCGTTCACGGTCCCTTTCCCGCTCTCTCTCTCTTTCGCGTTCTTGGCGAGCACTGAGCTCAGCCTCTCTCCTGGACCTTTCTACGGCCTCCTCTCTTTTCTTGGCCAGCTTGGAGGATGACAGCGGGGTGAAGAAAAAATCTGTTCTCGCACATGAATTGTATCCACGATCCAAGTGTTTAATAAACCTGGAAAAATACAAATAAAAAAAAATAAAACAAGCCATCAACACACTTATCTAAAATATTACACATTTGAAACAACGAAACATAAATATGCCTAACATTGATCTTTTTGAATCTCCTAACCTGTTAAATTCTTTAAACAGTGTTCTATATAAAATGACACAAATAGTCATTGTAGAAACCACATTTACAAACAGAACCGAAATAAGTTAGAAGCTAAAAAAAAGTCAATTAAAAGTAGTAAAAAGTTAATCCATCCATCCATTATCTTTACCCGCTTCTTCCATTTTGGGTCACGGGGGTCGCCGGTGCCCATGTCCAGCAATCAGTGTGCGAGGGGCGGGGTACACCCTGGACGGGTCGCAAGTCCAGTAAAAAATTAATACTTAATGTAAATATGTAAAAATCTGTACAAACAGATGTACAAACCAAGTGTAACATTTACTGAACATTGGGATCTATGCGCTCCAGAGCTTTCAAACATTATCACCGTGGCTAAATGTTATTGATTAGTTAATGTCTACTCAAAAAATGAATGGGAAAAATACTATGGCTAAAAACAAAACATGGATTTTATTAAGCCCTGTGATGGATTTGTGACCCGTCCAGGGTGTATCCCGCCCCTCGCACACTGATTGCTGGACATGGGCACCGGCGACCCCCGTGACCCAAAATGGAAGAAGCGGGTAAAGAAAATGGATGGATGGATGGATTTTATTAAATGCATTCAATCAATGGATGACTTGAAGAACACCAGATGAAGAAATTGTTAAATAAGCTAAAATTAATATTTTGTGTCACAAAGATTCATCTTGTGTTTAATCTCAGCTTTTAGTTATTTCATCTAAAATCCTGCTGTGGGAGACACATATTGTTTTCACTTCAAATGTATGTGATTTATTCCACTGCATTGTGGTGAGATGCATTAGACACAATGAGATGTTGTCAACAGGTGATACATGATATTTAGCTAAATTTAAATGGTGGGATCAAAGAAGGTTTTAATTGCTCTTTTTGTTTATTTGGACTTTATTTGTACCCATCAGGTATGAGACCAACCACTATTACAGTTCAATCAGTGGAGGTGCAGGTTTCTTTAACAATCTGCATCGACATAAATCAATAAAAATCAAAGGATTAATAAATGGAGTTGAAGGCTATGCATTATAGAACTTATCCAGGCATTGAATGAAAAACCAAACTAACTTGACAAACACAGTCACTGCATCTTCTACTCTGATTTTATTTGTAAAGAATTAAAACTAGATTTTTTTTCTTTTTTAACTTTAGAGAAGAATGGCTTCAAACATACCGGGCTGACTGGCTGGCATGGCTTGCCATGTTGACAACGGTGGGCTCTGGTGAGGGGCTCCGTGGAGGAGAAGGTGGGCTCTCGGCCTCTTCCATCTCGTCCAACGGCTCTTCTTTAATCTGAACTTGTGATCCTCCCGTGGCTGCATTCGACGAGGGTCTGGCAGGAGGAGTTGGAAAAGATGTCTGCAAGCTTGGGACGGGGCCACCGCCAGAAGACGTGACAGAGGAGTGCGGGAGGGGGGCTGCAGCTGGTGCATGAGAAGGGGCTGAGCTTTTGCCGACTGGATTGTGCACCTGGGAGGTGACTGGAAGTTGGGCTGAATGTGAATGAGTTGGTAGAGCATGTGACATGAGCTGAAGTGGAGGAGGCGGGGCACCCGGAGGATGCTGGTTGGGCAGTGAATTGAGGGGCTTTAGAGCAGGAGGAGGGGGCAGATTAGAGGGCATCTGGGGGAAAGGTGCTGCAGACTGGTGAGGCAGCTGCTTGTGCGAAGGTGGAATTGGGGTGGTGGGGGGCGGCTTAACTTGAGGGCCAGTAAGTGGTGGTTGTGGGACGTCCCTAAAAAAGGGTACAGGACGCGGGGCAGTTTGAGGAGGTGGACCACTTGGCTGCAGCGGCTGCGTGGAGCTGAGAGCAGGTGTGACATGAAACACAGGAGGAAGAGAAGCTTCCTGACCCGGTGCCGGTGGTGGAGGTCGTGGGCCGTTCGTAGACTGAGCAGCTGGCTGCGCTCGGCTGTTTGAACCTGCTGAATGACCAGACTGAGTGGGATCAGGGGAGGACGGTGGAGAGCTTTGAGCTGGGACAGATGAGGGTATGATTTGTGGTGGCTGAGGAGTGATCGAAGGGCCCTGAGAGGGGAGGACCTGCAGGACAGAAGTATCAGCTGGGGCAGTGGGCTCTGACGGGAGCCCGTTCGGCTGCGCAGAGGAGTCAGAGTCACTCTCGTTGCCCTGTTGAGGGCTGGGAATGCTGGGAGACGAGCTGCGGTTGTCTTGATCAATGTCTTTGGTGTCGCTGCAGTCATCCTGAGCACTGGGGCTTTCTGAAGAGCTTTCCTCCTCTGCCTCTCCTTCAGATCGGGATCCTGATGGATCCTGGAGGAACAAAAAAACAACAACAAAAGATCCTAATTTATTTTTCGTTCAACAATCAACAGGACTTATGCTGAGTAATAAAAAAGTATATTTTCTCTTTACATTAAAAAAAAAAATCATGTGATTAAGTTGTAACTTCCTCCCAAAATCCCCTTTTATAGTCACTTTTACCTGCGTTTTGGGCCTTTTAGGTGTGATTTTTTCAGGCTCGTCCGGCTCCAGAGCAGGACTTTCTCGTGCACGCTTCGTTGTCTTTGGCGCTGACGCCTCTTCTTTTATCCTCTGCACAAAGTTACACACGTTTTACACAACTTTTACTAAGACTAAAGTCATAGTGCTGTGAAAAAAAAAGTACTCTGAACAGAAGTTGAAAAAAGGAAACGTTCCAAGTTGTTCAGCGGACAACCTCTTGACAAAATCTGATTGTCTGCCACTTTTACAATAAAGGCAAAAATCTTGAGAAAAATGTGACTATATTGCACTAAATACAAAGTTTATTATAAACAAATGTTCTCAGTCGGCCATCTTTGTGGACTGCTTGGAATGTCCAATCTACTGAGTGGAACTTCCTCTTTCTCCTCCTCATCCTCTTCCTTGTCACCAGACTGCAGAAGAGGCACTCGCAGCATATTGAAGGCAGGGATTAAAACAGAAAATATATATATTTGAACTGAATTTTTTTTTCTCACCAAGCACTCCAAACAGAATTGAATTTTGCAGATATTTATGATAAAACTACTAACATCTGAAACTGACTGCCTCAGAGTCAGTCAGAGAACTTCCTGTTTTTGGGGGGAAATTAAAGTTACACAGAGACACACATCTCTGTTATAATCTGGGACATAAAGATTTGTCTTTTAGTGTTAATATTGTTTAATTATAAGAACTAAAGCAGTTTAATTATAAGAACTAAAGCAGCAGACACAAATTCTCTCACCGTGAAAGACACAAACAGGCTGAACGCGCTCCCACAACGGCACGTTCTCTTTCGGACCTTGAGTTTGGTCACGTGCGCAGCTTCACACGTCTGTACGATGATGACGGTGCTCAGAACACTAACGTTTAATACAAAGTAAGATTTTAGATATAAAAGTCCCGGGGAGGTCAGTGGCGTTGTGTGGGAAGGAGTGCAGATAACGGTGTATAAGTTACAGTACGTCCCCCGGCCGCAGTGAATTGGTCACGTGCCAACACATACGTTTAATAATTTATTATGCTATCACCTTCGGTTAGGGTAGCAAAGTGTCCTCTTGGAAAACAGTACAGGAAACACCGATTGGTACTCTCACCTGCGGTCTGTCTCCCACCATGAGGCAGCATGACTCGCACTGTTCTGCTCAAACTGTGGCTCTGCTTCTCTTTATTTGTTGAAAGGTGCATCAGTTTAATGCCTGTATCGTTATTAGATTGGATGGCTTTCACAAGGCCACAACAAAACACGTCTTTTTTTCCCCATTTCACTTTTACAGATGAAGGAAATCTGGCATGGCAGCGGAGAACTTTAATCCATGTCTATTTCACTTGTCTGTCCTCCGAACAACCTCGAGGAGAGATCAGGTTGTCCCAGACAAAAATAGGTTGTGTCAGACAAATGGAAACTGCTTATGTCGACCCCTGCTGTCGACTTAAGTGCGTGCTTACCCTAACACAGTGGTCCTCAACCACCGGGCCACGGACCATGGATCAATGGGTACTGGGCCGCACAGAAGGGGAAAAAAAGTTTTATTTTGAAAAATCATCAGATTCTCTCTATCACATCAGTCTATGACTCACACTTGCAAACACAAGTGGTTAGTTTCAGTTTCTGCTAAGTGCACGCGCAGATCAGTTCTACATTGCTGGTGAAGAACAAAGCAATTCAGCTATGTGGTCTGGAGCAGACAGGTGGAGGTGCGCAGCCGTATCTGTGCATTTTGAAGGATTACGCTGCATATTTTTCAACCCGCCTGACAAAGACTGACTATAAAACTATAACTAAATAAAACTATCATTTTAACAAGCTTCCTAATATCACATCAGAGCTGTCGCTTCACATTTTTGATTCTGCTCAAAAAAAATCTCTGCCCCTAAAAGTTCAAAGTCATGGGTAATTTTATTATAAAACACAAAAATATAATTAAACGTTTTGCACTACGCACAAGTTCCTGTGCTTTTGTGGACAATCTGATGTGTGAATCACTGCAGGAGTTATCTGAACGTTCACCGAACTGATAAAACAAAGACGATGATCTCAGCTCATGAAGCTGTTTGTTGTGCAGTCAGAGTATTTGAAGCGAAAAATGTTTTAAATGTTTGTAAAATACACCAGAATGTAGGAAATGGCATCTACTTTATTCAAAATTATGTTGGGGAGGACCCCCAAACCACGCCACCCCCCGATCTGTGAAAATATTGTCTGACATCAAACTGGTCCGTGGCGCAATAAAGGTTGGGGACCACTGCCCTAACACATTAATTTATTAGACTGAGCTCTATGAAAGGAAATGCCATCAAGTCATCTACACCTTATGATCAGTTCTCAGAAAAAAACATTAAAGACAATTATTACTGCTTCTATAATGTCGCAATTATAAAACCTTTGTACATCCATTAAAGTATTTGAGATATTTATAAATCAATGATTTATGAAGCAGGTAATGTTTTGATTTTCTCAACATAATATGTACCTTATTTGTTTTCCTTGAGGAGTCGATCTTGTCTGCAGAAGATCTAGCCCCACTTGTGAATGGCTGCTGTTCCTCGCTGGATGGGGAGCCTGTGAACCTCCTGAGGCCACTTCTTAAAGATGACATTTGCTTTAAGAGAAAAAAAAGTTGCCAGTATTTATAAAACCGACAAGAACAATCAGAACAGTTAAAATGACAGATTCAATAAGGTGTTTCTCCTGTATGAAACAGATTTAATTATAAACTTGGCACATATCTGTGAGTTACTAATAAAATGTTTGTAAGTAACGTGCAGCCTCGGGCTTACAGGTGCTTTGCTCTGCCGAGTCCTCATGCCGTGTTTGCTGTTCACCTCTTCCTCTGCTTTAACAGGTTTGAACATAAACGAAGATCCCCCAGATTTTGAAGCAGGTGGCAGACATCCATGTTTGTTTTCAAATGTGCGGCAAGTCGTGCACAGCAAAGGGTTGTCTCTCCCACCCTGGTGCCAATCCTTTGAATCTGTTAAAAGAACAATGACTTTAGGCACAAGTGTCAAAAGACTGCTCAAACTCTCTTAAAAAATAAATAACTTACTTCTTGTTCCACAGTGGCTGCAGCTTTTTATTTCTTGTTCACTGTCTTCACTGTCGAGATCATCCTCACTAGCAGAACTCACATCCACTGCAAGAGAAAAAATGTCATTTTAGACGGGGAGACCGTCGTACTTCCTGACCACACAAGTGTTGGTCCTTTCAATAAACACAGCACAGAATTTCTGTCAAACAGAACCTGAATAATTTCGAGATGGCGCGCTGACAGGAGCTGCTGCAGATCGGGTCTTTGCTTTACGGGAGGACGGCTGCCGACGCTGCTGTCGAAAAGCTCTTGTCCCTGCAGCCTCTGGAGTCTTCTTCCAGTGGTAATAAAAAGTGATCAGTTCTCCCTAATGAAATACACAAATGTATCCATATATTGCACCCATTGTTAAAACATTGAAAACATGGAAAAAATGTTTGCCTGCTTATTCTGCTCAAATCAAAAATGCACTTACAGTCTTTTTGCTGGGGAGGAAATCTTTACGAATGCGGAAAAAATTCTTTCCGTACTGCCTCAGGCCTTTGATGAAGCGTTTCTGTACGAAAACATGGTTAAAAAAATGTAATGACAATCTGTAGTAAAGTAAACTCATTAAAATGTGCCACTACTGTGGCATCTGCAAAACACAAAAGCTACACAACTGTACAGAAATTAATATAATTAGAACAGAAGTAATACTTTGTACATCTGAACCAATGCAACAGATTTTTGAATTATGTAAACCAGCCTTTTGAGAATAGTTTTAGCAGATGTATGAATGGCACGAAGAACCATGTGTTTATCAACACTGATGTTGCATTCATGTGCCACATTAGGAGACAGCGTCCCTAGCCTTTATTTAACCGCGTTAATGACTGGCTGAATCTCAGTTTCATAACAAATTGGTCTCACCACATCGTCCTCTGACCAGCACTTTTCAATAAGTTTCGGTAATGGCCTTTTGACTAGACGCTGGAGAGCTTTCGCTGCATCATAATGGCTTGCATGGAGCTAAAATTGAAGAGAGACAACAAATATATATGTATATATATATATTTTGTCTTTTTGCTTCACAGCAACATTTATAAATAATGGCATATTTGAAGTTCTGCTTCGCACCATGTTGAGGGCATTGAGTGTTGTATCATCACGGGAAGCTGCTAAACAACCATCCTCTGTGGATCCACCGTCACACATCCCTGCAAACGCTGCCATGCTCCTTGGAAATTCAAACATATTTTATGTTTAAAAAGGAAATCAATACTGAAGAAACACTTTTGGAACTTCGATAAATGTAATTAAGCCCACATCTTAGTTTAGGTAGAGAAACGCATTTTATTTACCTAAAACATACTGACAGAGATACTTTAAAACATTATAAATTAACACAAAGGAATTGTTAAATTGCAAATTCACTTATCAAAATAAGACTTTATCATTTACTGTAGTTTAAAAATGCTTTTATGTTGGACAAGATGCCAGTAATTTAAAGAGACGGCACAGACACTGACCTGGCTGCTCTCAGGTACATAAGAAGGTCACAGTCGTTGACTCCTGGCGTCCACATCAGCTCCTCACTCTCCATCTGAGTGTGTAAACCAGGAGCAGACCGCGGCTGCAACTCTGGGAGTTTGGCCTGCAGAAATAATTCAAAATGTGCACAAAAGTCACTATGAAGCCAGGAATTACAAGAAAGAAACTATGCTGAGAATGTGGCCAACAACCTGACAACAAATATATAAATGTATATAAAAATACTCCTTAGAATTTTTCATAAACATACTTAAAACTAATTGTTACGGCAGTTATTTTAAGCCCGGTGTGTCTGCCGCTACAAAAACTCAAACGTACAGTGTCGTACAAAAGTCTCAAGTCATCCATCATTTCTCTATAATTTGTTTCAAGCATCTAGATGCACTTGTAATACAAACCGGATACCAAAAAAGTTGGGACACTAAACAAATTGTGAATAAAAACTGAGTGCAATGATGTGGAGATGGCAAATGTCAATATTTTATTCGTAATATAACATAGATGACAGATCAACAGTTTAATCTGAGTAAATGTAACATTTTAAAGGAAAAATATGTTGATTCAAAATTTCACAGTGTCAACAAATCCCCAAAAAGTTGGGACAAGTACCAATAAGTGGCTGGAAAAAGGAAATTGAGCACATAACGAACAGCTGGAAGACCGATTAACACTAATTAGGTCAATTGACAACATGATTGGGTATAAAAAGAGCTTCTCAGAGTGTCAGTGTCTCTCAGAAGCCAAGATGGTAAGAGGATCACCAATTCCACCATTGTTGTGCAGAAAGATTGTGCAGCAATACCAGAATGGTGTTACCCAGCATAAAATAGCAAAAACTTTTAAGTTATCATCATCAACCATGCATAACATCATCAAAAGATTCAGAGAATCTGGAACAATCGCTGTGCGTAAGGGTCAAGGCCGTAAAACTCTACTGGATGTTCGTGATCCGGGCCTTTAAACGTCACTGCACCTCAAACAGGAATGCCACTGTCAAGGAAATAACAGAATGGGCTCAGGAATACTTCCAGAAAGCATTGTCAGTGAACACAATCCACAGTGCCATCCGCCGTTGCCAGCTGAAACTCTACAGTGCAAAGAGGAAGCCATTTCTAAGCAAGCTCCACAAGCTCAGACATTTGCACTGGGCCAGGGGTCATTTAAAATGGAGTGTGGCAAAATGGAAGACTGTTCTGTGGTCAGATGAGTCACGATTTGAAGTTCTTTATGGAACACTGGGACGCCATGTCATCCGGACCAGAGAGGACATGGATAGCCCAAGTTGTTATCAACGCTCCGTTCAGAAGCCTGCATCACTGATGGTATGGGGTTGCATGAGTGCTTGAGGCATGGGCAGCTTGCATGTCTGGAAAGGCACCATTAATGCAGAGAACTATGTTCAGGTTCTAGAACAACATATGCTCCCATCTAGACGTCATCTCTTTCAGGGAAGACCCTGCATTTTTCAACACGATAATGCCAGACCACATTCTGCAGCAATCACAACATCATGGCTACGTAGGAGAAGGATCCGGGTACTGAAATAGCCAGCCTGCAGTTCAGATCTTTCACCTATAGAGAACATTTGGCGCATCATAAAGAGGAAGGTGCAACAAATTTTAGTACTTGTTGCTAGTAGACTGTCATAAGTGGAGTTGAAGCTATAAAAACTGACAGCACAGTATGACACACATAAATAAAACTGTCTTTTAGCACAAGTACGGTGATTCCCTAAGACTTATTAACTGAAAACCTGGCATACAGGAAATGACCAACCAAAAGATGGATCGCTCAGGTAGTTGATGGATTTGTTTTCTCCTTTTTAAACATGTGACTTTCAGATATTGTTCAGCAGCTTTAGATAGCTCCTTAGGCCTCACACTCCTTTTGACCTTCATCTGTTCACTTTCTTAATCTTTTTTGGCACACACTCCACAAAATATTGTTTTGGTCCATTACACGGACCATATAGAAAATAAGTAAAAGGGTAAACAAAGTTCAAAGAAAAACTGTGAAAGTAATTCATAAAGCCTGGAAAACTATTGAACAAGACCATTACAGATTTAGATACCAGATTACAGGAAAATTGTGCTCCTACGCAACAAATTAGGACTGGTTTAAAACGCTTCTACAGTACTATTTAACAAATTATTAATACATTTTTTTTGTTTGTTTCACTGAGGATTTATATTAGCTTTAATGTTTGTATTTGAAGTGTCCTCGGAAATGTGACCAAAACCATGTCAGTTAAATCAAAATGTACCTGATGACTTGGCCCAACTCTTATCTCGCCTTGTGTGCTGTTCAGGCTCCTGGAATTCAAATGTTTAAAGTCAAACATAAATAAGAGTACATTTTGGTGCAAATAACAGTCAATATGTAAAAATATGTAAGAGTTAAATCAAATTCAACTGAGCAGTAAATGACAGTATCCCAGAGCAGTATTCCCTCCCACTGATTGCACTGATTTCAGGGACAGCAGAAAGTCCCGCCCCTCCACCCCTCTCAGCCAATCACAGACCTGCTTTTCTTATATTACATGAATGAAATCCGACTCCACAGCGGCCGCAAAACACTGTCAATCAATCACACATAAGCAGCTAATTTTTTACAGTCACCATTACGAAACAGTTTGTGCAGCTTAACAGGTTGACAGTAACGTCAACTGAATGTCCGCCCCGCGTATTTAACCTCAGCTAAAGTATGCAACCAATAATAAATAAAGATTAGCATGCGCGGCGTGTTACAAAAAATACATTAGCAACCAGCCACATACAGATACACGCAGGTCCTGCCCCAAAGATTTAACAATCGACCCATAAACTATTATTATGCGTAACACGGTATGGATCAGATTAGTTAAAAAAAAAAACTTAGTTACATTACAGCGACAAGGGGCATTTTGCCAACAGGAGCTGCTAGCTGCTAACGAGGTAACAGTAGCTTGTTAGCCACACACGAACTTCGTGACCACTGACACTCGGACTATTACATGCGAACGGCTCCTGAAGTAACGCAATGGACGCTGCAAGACAAATTTAACGCAAACAGTTTGTAAATGCACGCTGAGTGACAAGTAAATGAAGCTACCTGCGCGGACTGAACAGGTCGTCCATGTCGGCGGGTGTTTGGTTGTGGCTTGTTGACACTAACAGCAGCGCAGTAGGCGACACACACACAGCAACTATCCCCTATTACATGGCTATTCAAAATGGAGGCGGTGTAGTGGTGTTTTTTTTTTTTTTTTTTCTTTCTTTTTTTTTCTCTCAGTGCAATGACCTCAGCGGCAGCCACAGCTCAGCCTTCAGATGTGTGTGCATGTACATCACTGAGCATGTGCCGCGGATCATCAGACACACCGGGGCTGCTGCTTCTCCACGGCTTTCTGCTGCTGCCGCACAGTCGGCCATGAATCAAACACCGAGTCACGCAGCACTCCCACTAACAGGCACTTGTTACTAATGGTGGACAAAACACAGCAGTAAGCATTAAGGATGGCTAATAAATGGGTTACAGATACGTTATTAACGCTTCTATAAACACTTTATAAAGCATTAATAACTGTTTATTATGCATTAATTAAGGGTGACAGAAAGACAAAACTGACCCGTTTCTTGCCAAATAGTGAGCCATCTATATATTTCATCTAGAGTTGTTATCAGACTACCTTAATAAGCATTTGTAAACCTATTTTTTTAGGATATAATATAGATACTTATAGATACAATATGTAAAAAAAAAAAAAAAGGTTTACAAATGCTTATTGTGTTTACAAGGTAATCTGAAATGTTTAATATAATAACTAGATAGGTGAACAGTTTGGCAGGTCAGTTTTGTCTCTCTCTTAATTAAGGCATAGACAGTTATTAATGATTTATAAAGTGTTTATAGAGGAATTAATAACATATCTATAAACTATTTATTAGCCATGGGGAGTGCCTTATTGTAAAGTGCTACCCAGTTCGTTTATTATTCAATATTAGGTTACAATACTTCAATTCAATTCAATTCAAAAATATTTTATTAATCCCAAAGGGAAATTATTTGTTGTAACTCGTTATCCTCATTTCATTAAGCAATGTTATAGATACTGATGGCTGTAGGCAAGAAGGATCTCTTGTGAAGGTCCATCCCACAGTGGATCCTAACTGGCTGCAGATGCCGTCCGATCAGTCCACCCAGACTCGACTGGCCTCTCGGTTCCCCCAGGCTGTAGGACCGCCCGAATACTGGGCAGAACTCCTCCCAGAGCGATGGCCACTCCTCCCAGCAGTCTGCCGAGCTCCTCGTCGCTGCGGACAGCTAGGTGCCGAGGGACGATCCTGTTTTTCTGCTGTCATGAGCCGTGTTTCCTGCAGGATCTCAGTGGTCAGGCACTCGAGCACAGCTGGACGAGAATGCGTCCACAGAACATCTTTTCAACTCATTTGAGATTTGGGGCTGTAGTTGAGTTATTATTTAAGCTTTTGAGATGTTAATCAGCTGCTGTTGGTTGTAGAAAACTGCCTTGTTGCCATGGTTACACATTATAACAAATGTCCAACACTAAAAAAGTTTAAGTAAAAATCCTTCCAGCTGCACAGCATCTGATATCCGAGGAAACAATCATCCAAAAAAATGTGATTTACATCCAGAAAAAGAGGAATTAAAGTTTCCAAAAGCAAAATTTCAGAATGAAAGTAACAGAGCTGCTCCAACATGCAGCCACCTTGACCTCATATTTGGGCAGCATGGTGAATTAGTGGTTTGCATTGTTGCCTAACAGCAAGATTTTGGGTTCAAGCCCCAAAGCAGGTTGTGCAAGGCATATTTTAAGGTTCAAGGTGACTTTATAGTCATTTGCATCATATGTGGTACATAAGGTGGAACTAAATTGTCTACTCAAGGCAGTTACTTACACCCAAAAATAAGAAAAATATAAAGTATAAAAAGAAACAGTATACCAGGATCTAAAATATATGCTAAATGATAATAATAATGTAATTTAATGTGGTGTATCAAACAGCAGCCTGAACATGTGAGCAGATGGGTGTGAATACAGCAGCTTAAAGGCAATAAATCAGCAGCATGGATAATCAGCAGCACAGATAATGTCACATATCACTAAATGAAGTGACATTATGGTGATTTTTCTGCTTCAGGGTAGAACCTTCAGGGTAGAAGCTGTTCCTCAGTCTAGTGGTTCTACACTTAACACTTCTCAACCTCCTGCCTGAGGGGAGCGGGGCAAAAAGTGTGTGTGCTGGGTGAGTGGGGTCCTTCATGATGCAGGTGGCCCTCTTCCTGCATCTGGATGTGTAGATGGCTGTGATGGTGGGGAGGCTGACTCCAACAGACGTCTGTGCAGCCTTCACCATTCTCTACAAAGCTTTTCTCTCTCCAGCTGTGCAGCCTCCATGCCACATGTTGATACTGGAGCATAAGATGCTCTCCACTGCACACAAGTAGAAGGAGGTGAGGACTGAGCTTTCCAGACCAGCTCGTCTCAGCCACCTGAGGAAGTAGAGTTTCTGATGTGCGTTCTTGATCAGACTGCCTAGTGACTATCAGCCTATCAGAATTTCAATGTGAAGTTTGCACATTTCTTCTCGTGTTTACGTTGGTGTCCTCCCACAGTCCCAAAACAGGCATGTAAGCTGCCTTTAGGTTCAGGCCGCCTTTGAAAAAGAGATCAGTGATCTCAATGTGATAAAATAAAGATTAAAAACAAAGAGACTATAGCATTCTTTTAAAGGAAGTCGGTTTTAGACAGATCATCTTATGGAAAGAAATGACAAAGTTGCTCCGTTTTTCTGTCAAACACTGAAAATACCTTATACGCAATCTTGCGAGATGTCAGGCTCAGAGAATGTGTTGAGAATGACTCTCAGCTGCTACCACCTCAAGTTTTTGTTCAGTAACTGACTAATAGGTTTTTTTTGTGGTGCCAGTTAGCCTTTAACTCAAACTGAATCCAAAATTGCATCAGTTGTAGCAACATGATGTAATGACTTCTTTCTGAAAGTTTCATTAGAATCTGTTCAGTGGGTTGTAAGATATTTTGCTAACAAACCAACAGGGTTTACAATAAAAGTCAGTTTAGCTTAAAGCAAAGATCCAGCATAATACGTAGCCCTTTGAGTATATACTGTGAACAACTCTATAAGCACACTATTTTAGCGTAATATATGTAAAACTAACTGAATGGTTTACATTTTTTTTGTATTTTCTAAGGTCAGTTGGCTGTGGCAGCCTTCTTAATCAGGTTAACTTTAAAAAGTAATAAGTTATAAATACACATCAAGTGGTTATTTTCCTGGAAGTTTCCATACACTCTGTCCAGTAGCTCATGACACATTTTGTTCATAGAGTTGACTTCAAATTGGTGTTGGCAACATTTAAACAAAGATCTTGCACAACCTGCTTGAGGATCAACTACCACCACACCAGATTTTAGCTGGATATCTGCAAACTTACCTGAGATACAACTTTTTTGTGTTTGCTAAGGTCAGCTAGCTGTGGCAACCATCTTGAGTCAGATTACCATTAAAAGTTAATCAGTTGTAGTAGATGTACAGCCAATGAATACTTTCAGCGAGTTTCATTAAAATGAGTTCAGTGTTTTTTGAGATATTTTGTTAACACACACAGAAATGCATGCAAAAACATGATCACTCACCCCTTTTGGTAGCAGGCAATGAAAGTTCTCAATTACACACACTTCAGACAAACTGTACAGTGTTGTTGTTTTTTTTTTTTAATTGGATGGAGTGAGTGGAGTACAGAAGTGTCTTATTCAAAAATATGACAAAATACCTGCATTGTTTTTACCCAAATAGTGATTTGATTTGCAATTTGTAATAATAAAAATGTTCTTGGCCCTGGAAAACAGTCTTGTTTCATTACATTCATTTGTAAACAAATGACACACACACATACACAAATTAATATTTTGTAATCAACCAATTTTTAACTAAAACTCCAATTTCAATTTACGCATAAACATTTTGGTTTTGTCAAATTTAATTTGGACTAACACTTTCAGTTATGCATTCAATAATACACATTCATGACCCGCTTGCAGTATCTGAGTAATTCTTCACTAATTATTATTACAATGGTACTTTTACATACATTTGAGCAAATGTCTCATAAATCACTCTATCACAGGTCTTCTGAAGTGTTTCCCAGCAAACTGAGCCTTGTCTCCCAACTCCTCTTCAATTCTACATCAAACAAAAACAACAATTATTATTATTTTGCAATATTTCAAGTTAGGTTTATTTTTGCTCTTTACGTGATCAATTCAAGCAGCTAAAAATAAATATACAACTCTGAATTGATTGTCCAGTGAAGAATTTTCTTTTAGAACTGTGAACCACTCAGATGTTTGTTGTGAGCAAAACAGAAACAAAACCTGTAAGGACACAGTTTTAACACAATAATAGCAAGTAGCCAAAGAAAGTAGTGGCTGAACTTTATTAATCAAACAATAAAAACAAAAAAATATAACTAAGTTTCATTTGACTGATTCCTTCTTCAGAGGTCATCACACGGTACACTTGCATAAAAGATCTGGAAATTGTTTTACACCAGATGCCTGAATTCCCTGATGCAACCAGGGTTTGGAGCAGCAGCTTCAGAATAGGCTATGCCACTTAACCACTGAGCTACTGCAGCCCCAATCAAAACAATTAAAGAAAATATTCCTTTCTGCTGCTCCCTTCTTTTCTTCAGGGGTCGCCGCAGAGAACTAAGTCACACGTAGACTTGGTAATTATTTTTAATGCAGGATGCCCTTCCTGACTCAACCACAGACCACAGCTACCATAGCCCTCTGTGTGGAGCAGAGAGCTGCACTAGGGCAGCCGGGGGAGCAGATGGTGGGAGTTAAGAGCCTTGCTCAAGGGCCCAGAGTGGGGCAAATGAGGGTGTAGGCAGGTGCTTCACCTTTCCCACCCACATTTTGATGTTGTCCTTACCGGAAGTTGAGCTGGCATTCTTCCAATCACAGGCCCACCTTCTGTAACCTCTGTGCCACCACTCCCCAAAACAAACACTTTATTTTAAACAATTAAAAAAAAAAACTATTGTAAAAAAAAACAAAAACAAAAGATTGTTCCATTTCCACAAGACTGAGACTCACCTCAGGATCTGATTGTATTTAGCCAACCGCTCAGAGCGGCATGGAGCTCCAGTCTTGATCTGGGTGAGTTAAAAAAACAAAACAAATAAAACTGCATATTTTTATGTTACATGTTTAGTTTCACATATAGAATAAGTTCTGATAGGTATTCTATCCATCCATCCATCCATCCATCCATCCATCCATCCATCCATCCAT